GTTTATTTGACTCATTTTAGCTGCTGCTAGCGCTTGAGGCTTAGCAGCAGCAGCAGCAGCAGCAGCAGCAACAGCAGGAACCGCAGCCGACTGCTCCCCAGTACCTTGGGGTGTACGTACACCTCAGATCAGCAGCAGCAGCAGCATCTCTCATTGGCTGCATCACTGCAACACTTTCCACTGTATCCAGCTGGGGGAGCTGCTGCTGCTGCTGCTGCAGCAGCTGCTGCTGTTGCCTCAGCTGCTGCTGCTTGCACACGCACAGATCTGTGGAACAGCAGCTGAATACCCGAAGGTTGCTGCTGCTGCTGCTGCTGGCTTTGATGTCACTGCAGCAGCAGCAACAACCGCAGCAGCAGCAGCAGCAGCAGCAGCAACAGCAGGAAACAGGCTGGGCAGCAGCAGAAGCAGCAGCAGTTGCTCCTGCTGCTGCTGCCGCTTCTCAAGATGCCTCATCTTTCGGAACCGATGCAACAGCTGCATCTGCTGCAACCACAGCAACTGCTGCAGCAGCAGGAGCAACCGCAGCAGCAGCAGCAGCAGCAGCAGCAGCAGCAAGCTACTACGGTGCAGCCCCACACGTTTCCGCAGCCAGCCTGGGATCAGCAGCAGCAGCAGCAGCAGCAGCAGCAGCAGCGGCAGCGCTTTGAACAGCAGCAAAGTTTCGAGCTGCCGCTCGAGCAGCAGCAGCACGTCCGTCCCCAGAGGCTCCAGCTGCAGCAGCAGCAGCAGCAGCAGCAACAGGAGCAACCACCGCAGCAGCAGCAGCAGCAGCAGCAGCAGCAACAGCAACAGCGACACCAACAGCAGGACCAGCAGCAGCAAGGGCTGCTGCGCGGCACCAGAAGCCTGGAAGCTTCGTTCGTGCTGCAGCAGCAAAAGGTGGTGCAGCTGCAGCAGCAGCAACTGCAAGCATGTGCATCCCTTTGGGCTCAGCAGCAGCAGCAGCAGATGCTGCTGCAGCAGCAGCGCCTGCAGCAGCAGCAGCAGCAGCACCAGCAGGAAATAGCCGCCTTCTCACAGTTTAGATATACTGAGGGTGGCTCTGCAGTGCTCGCTGGGGTTGCTTCTGACTGCAGCAGCAGCAGCAGCAGCAGCAGCAGCAGCAGCAGCAGCAGCAGCAGCAGCAACAACAACATTAACACCAGCAGCAGCATCGACAGCAGCAATGCCAAAATGAGCCGTTCATATACTCCTCTTCAGGACAGCAGCAGCAGCAGCAACAGCAGCAGCAGCAACAGCAGCAGCAGCAACAGCAGCAGGTGCAGCAGCAGCAGCAGCAGCAGCAGCAGCAGCAGCAGCAGCAACTTCCCCTCTGCTTCATTGCAGCCTCC